ACACGTATACTACAGTCCTTAGTCACACATAGTATGCCACAAACAGACCCCTTTACACACACACAATACAACACAAATATTCTGCTCTAGACACATGCAATCTCACAAGCAACCTCCAAACATCACAGGGAGCATACCCACACATGCACAACACACTTCAACAGGCCAGTCACACTTTTGTTCTCTGATGTCCCACTATTGAGGACACCAGAGACAAGTCACTAGCAAACACAGCGCATGCTGACGTTGCATAACTCCTCCATACCCCCCAAAAAACAAATGGGGCGGGGGGAGGCGTGTTTGTCAATGGTTGTAACATAACACTCCACCTTTCTGACCCCGCCCCTCCTAGTGGGCTGCTCTGCCTTTAATTTCCTGGGCTAAATTTTTGTTCCAGTCCGGCACTTCCATTTTTCCTGACTTTCTGTGATGGACTGCCTGGCACCTCGACTGGGTGCCTCCGCCAATCGCTGCTTCCTAGCTGTCGCCGAGTACCATAAGCACCACACTGGACACTATAAGCACCGTAGCCCCTTAGCCACCGCAGCTTGGCTGGGGTCTCGCCGTCCCTTCTTACCAAACCCCTGGATCCAGCTCCCAGTGAGAATACCTCTCCTCCAAGAGAGTATAGTAGGTATAGCAGTGTAGCTCTTAAAAGAGCTAGTGATTATAGCCCAGGGGAGTATTGTGATATAGCAATCCCCAGAGCAGATACAGTTGTTCCTCCCATACATGAGATGAGACTCTATGTTGAAGGTAGGCAGGAACTCGTTTATTGGCAGCCACAACTGGCATATGCAGGTCTCCAAGCAAGGGGCATGCCCCCTTGGAGCTGAGAGTAGACTACAGTAAAAACATACACACAATTACATTGGCTCTCAGGTCCAGGACACTCCCATACAAAACAAGATAATCCCGCCCCTGTGCCTGGGAGATAACTGAGTCAAGTACTGTACTAAACTCAATTATCTCCAGGCACAGGAAACACATTTTTATACAACCCCAAAAATACCTTTAAACACACAAAACCCCAACATAAGTTACATCCCCTGATAGCCCCGATCTGAGTGACCAACATATACAAAAATCACCCAGATTGGTTCAGGGATTTGGGAATATCCTGGAATTCATCATTTTGACCGACCGTGTACATGATCCTATGCCCAAAACAGTTCCATGAAATCAGTGCTAACTGTCAGTCAAGTTCGGTAGTCTTTTACAGGTTTCCCTGCAGGACCCATAACCTGTGGGCAGGAGGCTGACAAGCAAGCTCCTCCAAGAGCTCATGGCAAACTCACATGGGAATGGAAGTTTGTCACACTTTCAATACCTCTTTCTCATTACCTTTGTCTTCTCCATCAACTTTTTCAGCTATATGTCCAGTTTCCATCACCTTTGTATCGTTTTCTCGAATGCCTTCTCTACTATTACTAATACTATAATAGATGTGATGCTATATAGCGCATTTTTATTTTATGTCTACATTTATGTATTTCCCTGTCATTATATTTTTCATAACTGCTTAAATAATAGCAATACAAATTTTTTTTATATATATATATATATATATATAGTACAATATTAAGTGGATGCTTTTACTTTTAACAATATGCTAATGAAGATTCTGCTGTACTCTGATTCTGAATGTTGTTTTGGTGTACTGGAATAGCATTGTATAGAAGGAAGGGAAATACACATTTAACTGGTCTCCAAGAGCAATCCTTTTATGAAGAATTCCTGTTGCATACAATGACAAAGACCTTTAATCCAAGGTCATGCAGAGCATAGTTGTTAAATACCCTGATATTTTATATCAACTGAGAGCCTTTGTTTTCACAACCATGATGCATTAATTGTGGGAAGAGCTCAGAGTGCTAATTTGATTATGTTATACTGTGCCTGCATTGCCCGAGAGAAACAGCTGCAGCCGTGCTTATGATATTAGAAATCTGGCTGGTAACAGCACCAGAGAAGGGAGGGGTGGAGTGTGTGTAATCTACTTAGAGACACACAAAGCTCGGGAACAGGAAATAACATGAGGACAGTGGAAACAAAAAGGAATGGAGGGCAATCATTTAGTGTGCATAAAATGTGTGTCAGAGATCTTTTGTAGCTCACAAAGCTATTAGGGAGCAGTAAATATGATCTAACTGCGCATAAAAATATAGGTAGGATCTACATTTTCTTACATAGCATTTTAAAAATAATGATCACTAAGGGAATCGACCTTCATTGACCTTAATTTGCATACGACAATCACTGCTGTTACATGCTGCTAAATCCCTGGATAATATGGTTTCTATTGTTAGGTATTGTTTGAAATATGAACTGAGATTATATCATTAATTGTTTTATTCATTCTAAATTAAACAAATGCAGCTACTTATTTTACTCCATCCCTTGTTGATTTATCTGTTTCTCCCCTCTCTCACCCCAACCTCCCCCCATCCCCCTGTCTCTACTGGTCCAGGATGCCGTCTCAGATTTAGACTGCCGTTATGCAACGTCACAGACAGGAGAAAAACAAACGCAGTGGAAAAAACAAGAAGTTCCATGAAAAATAAATGCTGTGAAAAGGAATAATAAAAAAAAAAAAACATGGGGAGGGATATTGGAGCTCTGAATTAATTCCATCTATGCAGCCAGCAACAAAAAGAGAGGAGGAAGGGAAGAAGGCAGGATTCTGAACCGTGTATTAGTGAGTGCTGCTCCACTCATTATTCAGTATTGCAATATTGACATGCGATCAAGGCTCATTAATCTTTTTTTTCATTCAATCTACTTTGCCTATTTTAAGCTCTGGAAATAAGTCCATAAAGCGATTGTTGATTTAATGGGTATAGACAAGAAGGATGACAAAATAATGTTGTTTATCAGTGGAATGCAGCATTGCAGGGTTTTACAAGGAAGTAGCTGATTCATTAAAAGAATTAAAGGTTACTGTTACATTTTGGATATCAACATTGCAGTGATTGTCTTTTATTTGCTAAAAAAAAAAAATAACATTATGAATGTACTAGCACAAATACTCTCACATATAGCCTGCTCATACATTTAAAAGACAGGTATTAAATAATGGGAAATAATGTGTGTGCGAACATACATGTTGCATATCAAAGGAAGGTAACATTCAAATGTTTTTTTGTTTTTTTTTAGTGTTCTCTTGTCTTTGATATCAATGAACAATAAGTGTCACATAAAATTAGAGAAGCAGAAGCAAAAATTCACAAAATAAACTACATTTAGTGAAGAATAATATACAGGTAATAAAATCCACGTGGTCCTAGCTTTGGATTATTTTATTGAACAAAGAAACAAAATATTGTTTGGTATAGCCCATTTTAGCAGTTCTGCTAGCATTCATCTAGATATTGTTGAATTATTTATAGCTTAACATTTACTTTTAATATAACTACCACATTAATGGCCCCAATGCACATGTGCCTGTCACATGTGTTTCCTAATGTAGCACTCAGTGCAAAGTGTACAGTCCACAAGGGATAAAATGTGAAGCATGATGGGTAACAGGACTAAGAGTGATTTGCTGTAACACTGCTGCAACACTTACTGAGATGAATATAATGAAGCACTGTGGTCACAGGCACTAAAATGGATATAGAGATAGCTTAAAGTGATGGCTACCAAGAAGTCTATAGATAATCAGTGCAGTCACAGGAACTGCTAAAATGATAGATAAGCATTAAACTCATAGATACTAAAGGGGTTTAGATAATCACTGTTATTGCATGTACAATTAGGATACACTGTATAAGCTTAGAGCACTATAAAGAAACAATGCAATAAAAGTACTAAAAGTAAATGTAAAGATACACTGCAGTAACTGGTACTATGAGAAATATAAAGGAATATGGCATTAACAGCTGCTAAGAAGCATCTGGGAGAATACAGGAAGATACTGTAAAGCTTTTACTACACAATCAGGCAGTAAGCAATCAATATATTTCTACTGTTAATTTATTTATTACTTTCTTTTGTTGTTGTATTCAGGGCTGCCAATTCAAAGCCTGCTCTGAGTTCGCTCACCACATCAGTCTTACAGAAACCTCCACTGTCTTGACCTACAGCGACTTTCCACCAACCACCAAGGTTTCCTTTCACCCATCTCAAACCTCACCTGCCCTAATGCTGCAACCTCCCTCTACAACTCCACTAAATAGACATCATGGCAACTCCTACATTTAAATTCAGCAAGTGCCAGTAACAACCCTGGCACAACAAACTGACCTGATACCTCCAAAAATGTTCCAGAACTGCTGAATGCTGCTGAAGAAAGTCTCATTATGAATCTGACTTCCTCCACTACAAATGTATGCTGCGCTCTTACAGTGTGGATCTTTCCTCTGCATTAAAACTACTTCAATACGCTCATAACCACACTTTCCTGCGAACCCCAATCCCTATTTGATGCTTTTAACTCTCCTGTTCACCCTGTTGCGTCTCTTCGTCCTACCAACTTGACCACCACAAACTTTGCAACTCACTTCACTGAGAAGATTTCTACAATGTAAGAAGAGATCTCTCATCTCTCTCCATCCCCTACCAATTTTCCCCCCAACCCCACTCCCTTTGCTGTCCTATGCTCATTTGCACCTACTACAGCAGAAGAGGTATCTGCTCTGCTCCAGTTCTCCTGCCCCCCAACCTGTTCCTTTGATCATATTCTCTCGTACCTTAACCGCACTTTGTCTCCTTCTCTTGCTCTGCCTCTCACAAAAGATTTTCAATCTCTCCCTCTCCTCTGGCATATTCCCTCTACCCTTCCAACATGCAACCGTAACCCCGATTCTGAAAAAGCCCAACGATGACCAAAATTCCCTGTCCAACTACCGCCCTATCTCGCTACTGCAGTCTGCCTCCAAGATTCTTGGGAGACTTGTATATGCGAAATTAACAACTTCCTCAAATCCAACTCTCTGCTTGACCTGCTTCAATCTGGATTCCTGGATTCTTTATCCACCTCTTTTCCTCAATTCCTTACTGTTGATGTTCCCCAAGTGTCTGTACTTGGTACTCTATTGTTCTCAATATATGCTCCTCCCTTGGTAAACTCATTAGCTCCTTTGACTTCCAATATAATTTCCAATATCCAATATCATTTCTATGCAGACTACATGCAAATCTATCTGTCCCCTGATTTCTCACCACCCCTCTTGACTTGTGTCTCTGACTGCCTCTCTGCTAATTCCAACTAGATTGTTGCTCATTTCCTTAAACTTAACCTGTCCAAAAGAGAACTCCTGATCTTCCCTCACTCAAGTGTTGCTATCCTGTCTGATTCCCTCCAAGTCTATGGCGCTACCATTAGTTCTACCTCGCAGGCTTGCTGCCTAGGTGTTTTCTTTGACTTTGACCTCTCCTTCACCACTCATGTCCAGTCAATGGCCAACTCCTGCCATTTCCATCTCAAAAACATGCCCCATTTAACGCCTGATAAGGCTAAGGTACTTGTCCATGCCGCTGTTATCTCTTGCCTTGAAAACTGTAATCCGTTTCTCAGTGGTGTTACGTGTTCACAACCTGCTATGTTACAGTCTATAATGAATGCGGCGTTGAGGCTCATCTTCCTGTCCGCATACACCTTCCATGCCTCCCTCCTCTGTCAGCCCCTACATTAGCTTCCTGTAAAATATAGGGCTCAATTTAAGATTGTAGTAATTGCTTACAAATCTCTACACAATGATGCTCTGATCTATCTATCCTCACTAATACATAAATATGTCCCTTCTAGATCCCTACACTCTGCCAACGATCTATGTCTAACCTCTGTTCGTACTCCTACCCATCCCCCTACATCCCGACACATATCTTTTCCTCCTTCCCCCACAAGCCATGCAGAAGCATGAAAAGGCTCCACTCTTGCACCTCATCACAGCATCAAACCAGCTCATTCCAGCCTTCTGGACACAACCCCACTCGCCTAACATACGAGATTGGATACAAAAGGTTGAAACTATCAGGGGCCTAGAGGAGACATGTTACTCCCTCACACACCAGTACCACCTCTATACTTCTACCTGGGATCCGTGGATGCAATATTTACAGAATCAAACAACCTAAATAGAAAACCTTCCCACCTCCTCACCCCCTCCCTCTCATCCCTCTTGAATACCCCACTAACCCAGCCAACGGCAAAACGCATCTCTCAATGCTCGCCAGATTCAGGCTAAACGACGGGCTACATAAAAGTAGAAGGTACCATGCAGAGAAACTGGTCAGAGGGACTATACCAGATAGAAATGTTGCCATAGGCCCACAGTGTGCAATGATACAAAAGATACCACTGTCGAACTCACGCATGCTAAACTAATATGTAATGCACCAATGTTATACTTTTTTGACTGTTCCTTTATCTGTGTAACGCAAGTCATTATTTCACAAACCAATGTTGTACAATCTGCAATATTCCAATAAAAAAAATAAAATAACTTTAATGCTAAAAACAAATATATATTGAAACACAACACATTTCACCAGATAAATGGCTTCTTCAAAGGTAGAGACTTTACTCTGGTAAAACATTTTGTGTTTCATTAAATATTTGTTTTTAGCATCAAAGTATATTTGGAAGTGTGGATCTAGTGTTAACTCGATGCAGCAAATCCACTGTCCCATTGATTATTTTGTAAAAAGGTTGAAAAATTCTGTAAAATCAGAAGTATACATCCAGTTATATTTTCATATTAACAGCTATGCTTGGCTGAAGAGCTGCAATGGGTTTCATACTTTTTTGAAACACCAGGGATTTCATGATATGCCAAACGTAAGTCACATGAAATGCTATTTTGTTATGTTGTAAATCAATTGTAGAAAATTCTGACAAGCTTTTTACTATTGAAATCATCAAATTCAAATATTTTAAATCATTTTTTTTGCATGACCACATTACAAGTAGCAAAACAGGCAGGCACACCAGAAGGAGAGAGAGGAAAGGAATGGGGCTGTGTGGATAGATAAAGATACATGGAGCTGGGGGAGGGGATGGGTAGGGGTGAAGAGACACAGAGCAGGTCTGTGGGAGAGAAACAAAGAGGGGTTGGAAGAAAGAGAAACAGAGAGGGGCTGAGGCAAGAAATAGACACAAAGTGGGCCTGGGGGAAAGAAAGAGGTGATGTGCTGGGTGAATAAAGAGGCACAGATAGGGGCTGGAGGGAGACACAGAAGGGATGGGGGAGAAAGATACACAGACAGATGTGCTGAAAAAAACACTGAGAGGTGCTGGGGGAGAAAGAGACACACATAGGAACTTGGGGGAGAAATAGGCACAGAGATTGGCTGGGGTGATTGAAACACAGAGAGTGGCTGGGGAGAAGAAAGAGGCACAGAGATAAGCTTTTTTTTTAATGGGAGTCAAAATGCATCTTTGCCTGTGTAGTCAAAAAAAGGCCATGTAGTCTTAATTAAGCAGAAACATTTGTAAGGTAATGACTGCCCATCATTTTGAAATGTCTGTATAGAACATGATTGTTGAGGGTTGTTTTTTTTTTTTTAAATCATTACTGGCTCCACTTATCATTTGCTATATTGAATAGTCAGATACATATTTTTTAGTTCTATTCTTGCCAAGTAGTCTGAATTAATCAGAAAAGCCTGTAGGCAATGAATGGTCGTAATGTTGAAATGTCTGTATAAGACATGGTTGACTGTTGAGCACTTTTAAATCTATCACTAAGTGCATGTGTCTTCCTTTTTCACCAGTAATGCATTGCTTTTAAATACTGGGACATCCATAATTACATGTTGGTTGGCTCCTTTTCTCCATATTTCACAGACCTCTTAATTCACCAGTTTTCCCTATTTAGGAAATGTTAATAGGATGTAGTAACATGAGTTAGATTAAATGGGGCACAACGTCTATCTGAAAACGTATACCCATTTGTAATTTAAAAGTAATCATGCTTGGAAAAAATAAATGACTTTGTCACCACATTTTGTTGTAAAGATCCTTCTCGGCCTTCCTACTCACCATGGCTTTAAACTTACAAAAGGAAAGGTTCAGAGTCATGGGTTCTGTTCTACCCAGTCTGTGATAAAGACAAGGGTCAGGGGCGTACCTAGAGCATTTGGCACCCGGGGCGGATCCTGGGTTTGGCACCCCCTCACCCCCCTTTTCCACCCGCCCTCTCCCCCACCCAAAAAAAAAACCTGTAACATTTTTTAAAGACAGTCACACACACAGTTACAGGAATACACTCACACACAGTTACAGGCAGACAGTCACACATACAGTCAGAGACAGTCATGCACACAGTTACAGGCAGACAATCACATATACATTCACACACACATGGTCACAGGCAGACAGTCACACACACACAGTAACAGGCAGCAGCAGACAGTCACATGCACACAGTCACAGACAGATAGTCACACACGGTTACAGGCAACATCAAACCGTCACAGGCAGACAGTCACACAGACATAGTCACATGCAGACAGTCACACAGTCACACACACAGTTATAGGCAGACAGTTACACACACAGTCAGTTACAGGTAGTCACACACAGTCATAGCCAGGCAGTCACATACACAGTTACAGGCAGACAGTCACATATACAGTCACACACACACACAGTCACAAGCAGAGAGTCACACACACATACACAGTTACAGTCACACACACAGTTACAGGTAACATCACACAGTCACAGGCAGGCAGACACACACACACACTGTTACAGGCAGACAGACACACAGTTACAGGCATGCAGTCACACACACATATACAGTTACAGGCGAACAGTCACACACAGTTACAGGCATGCAATCACACACACACCCATAATCAGTTACAGGCACACACACACACACACACAGTTACAGGCATGCAGACACACAGACACAAAAACACTTTTACAGGCATGCAGTTCACACACAAATACACACGCTTGTCTGGACCTGCTTTTAACAAACAACGTTGATCTTTTGACCAACATTCAAGTAGGTGAGCACTTGGGAAATAGTGATCACAATATAGTGTCCTTTGAAATAAACTCAAAAAAACAAAAGCACATGTGGTATACTAAAACATATCATTTTAAAAAGGCCAATTTCAATAAGTTAAGGGAAGCTTTACAATATATTGACTGGCATAAACTCTTTAGTGAAAAAAACACTGAGGATAAATGGATCATCTTCCAACAACTATTAGAAAGGTACATTTCTCAGTAGGTACCATTGGGAAATAAATATAAAAGAAACAAATTAAAACCACTGTGGCTTAGTGGAGAAGTAAAACAAGAGATTAAAAATAAGAAAAGGGCATTTAAAGCATTTAAATCAGACAAATCAGATGCATCTTATAAAAGATATAAGGCAGCAAATAATGTGTGCAAAAAGACAATTAGACTTGCTAAACTTCAAAATGAAAAAATGATAGCTAAAGAGCGCAAAACCAACCCCAAAGCATTTTTTAAGTACATAAATTCTAAAAAAACCAAAAATTAAAGAGTAGGTACACTAAAAACTGAAACAGGGGTGTTAGTTAATGAAGACCAGGAAAAGGCAGTAATTTTAAATATTATTTCTCCTCCGTATATATTAAGGAAGAACCCATGGCAATAGATGTGCAAATGATTGCTACTAAAAACATGCAGAATAATTGTAATTGGTTAACTCAAGACAAGGTGCTCCAGCAACTAAAGAAAGTTATTATAAACAAAGCTCCAGGGCCTGACGGTATCCATCCACGTGTGCTTAAGGAACTAAGTGTAGAAATAAGTGAACCTCTGTTTTTAATCTTTCAAGATTCTTTTCTTTCAGGAAGTGTTCCGGAGGATTGGAGGAAGGCAGATGTGGTTCCTATATTAATAAAGGGTTCAAAATCCTTGCCTGGAAATTATAGACCTGTTAGCGTAACTTCTGTGGCTGGTAAAATATTTGAAAGGTTATTAAGGGATGATATTCAAGAATTCCTTGAGAAGAACATGGTTATCAGCAAAAATCAGCACGGTTTTATGAAGCACAGGTCATGTCAAACTAACTTGATTGCGTTCTATGAAGAAGTAAGTAGAAGTATAGATCAGGGTGTTGCAGTGGATGTGATCTATTTGGATTTTGCCAAGGCATTTGATACAGTTCCACACAATAGATTACTGTTCAAACTCAAGGAAATCAGTCTAGATGAAAATGCTTGTTCTTGGTAGAACATTGGCTTAAAAACAGAGTACAAAGAGTTGTCATTAATGGTACGTTTTCAAGCTGGACAGAAATGGCAAGTGGTGTCCCTCAGGGGTCTGTTCTGGGACCCTTTCTATTTAACATATTTATAAATGATCTTGAAGACAGCATTGAAAGTCATGTTTCAGTGTTTGCAGATGACACAAAAATGTGAGCAAGATATTACTTTGCTGCAGAGGGATTTAGATAGACTGGGGGACTGGGCACTCAAATGGCAGATGAAATTTAATGGTGAAAAATGCAAAGTTATGCACTTCGGCGTAAAGAATACACAAGCAATGTATACCCTTAATGAAAGCGAATTCGGGATAACAACACACGAAAAGGACTTGGGAATTGTTATAGACAACAAACTATGCAACAATATGCAATGTCAATCAGCAGTAGCCCAGGTCAGTAAGGTATTGTCATGCATGAAAAAGGGCATTCATTCTCGGGACCAGAATATCATTTTGCCTCTTTATAAATCACTGGTAAGACCACATATTGAATATGCTGTGCAATTTTGGGCACCTGTTCTAAAGAAGGATATTATGGCACTAGAAAAAGTGCAGAGGCTGGCTACAAAATTAATAAAAGGAATGGAACATATCAGCTATGAAGAAATGTTATCAAATTTAAACCTATTTAGTTTAGAAAACATTGCCTGAGAGGGGATATGATAACATTATACAAATATATTCGGAGCCAATACAAACCATTGTGTGGAAATCTATTCACAAACAGACTTTACATAGGACATGAGGCCATGCGTTTAGAGTGGAAGAAAGAAGATTTCGTCTAAGGCAAAGGAAAGGTTTTTTTACTGTAAGAACAATCAGGATGTGGAATTCTCTGCCTGAAGAAGTGGTTTTATCACAGTCCATACAGATGTTTAAACAGCTACTAGATACATACTTGCAAAAACAGAATATTCAAGGATTTAATCTTTCAATGTAGGGTAAT